TGCTGTAAAGTTACTGAATCAAGGCTGAATAATTCCGAAACAAATTTCTTGTTCAATGTCATGTCACTGCTGAGTACTGAAAAAAAAAATAGTTTTTGACAAACTACTAATTAAATTAAATTTTAGAAAATTCTTTGCCACTTTGCCTTAGTCATAATTTTAGGTGTTTTTTCAAGACGTTGACATTCTTCAAACACATGGAATTGTAAGTTTTTTCTGCCTCTGAGTAATGCTCAGCATATGTGATACGGGTAACAAGAGAATTTATATTGGTCACGTCCACTATAAAAAAAAAAAAGCTAAAATTAACAGAATGTGGCTGACATCAAGAAGCTGCAAGGGGTCGGGATTTGTACAGTAAAAGGAATAATGATGACAACAAAAAGGCGACTGTGTGACGTTAAGGGTTTGTCGGAAGTAAAAGTTGATAAAATTAAGGAGATTGCAGCAAAAATTTTGGTAAGTTTTGCTTTTCCTGCTTCTTCTCTGTATTTCAGTTAGGGGCCTGGCCACCAATGTCCATGATGAGTTGCCTTCTCCTAGTTCACTTTTTCCCTAAGCTTCTGCAGAATTACGGGTTCATTACCGCATCGGCTGTTGCGGAGAGAAGGAAACTGTGTTTCCGCATTTCAACAGGAAGTAAGGAACTGGATAAGTTGATAGGTGGTGGAGTGGAAAGTCAGTCAATAACGGAAGTTTTTGGGGAATATCGTACTGGTAAAACCCAGTTGTCTCATACACTTTGTGGTAAGATTATTTGCTGCTAATTATTTTTACCAGCATTCACTTCTTATTGAACTATCAAATGTGAGGAGTGTTTATGTTTCTCAGTCACATGTCAATTCCCAAACGAAACTGGGACGTTTAAAGGAGGAAAAATCATTTATATAGACACGGAAAACACGTTTAGGTAAACAGATATACGCAATTCTTTATTATTGAAAATTTAAAGAACATTTGAGGTGGTATAGACGTTACTTTTTTGGAAAACCGTCACGCCCCTCAAATGATAAGATTCTTGGAAATTGGCGTTGTACATCGCTGAATAGACCGTTGTTTCTTTTCTGTTTTAATATTTAGCTGCTAAAACAAAAATTCTACAGACCAGACCGCCTAAGGCAGATATGCGACCGGTTTAATGTTGATCAAGAATCTGCTCTGGATAATGTTTTGTACGCGCGGGCCTACACGTCTGAACATCAAATGGAATTACTTGACTACGTTGCCGCTAAATTCCATGAGGTCCTTTCGACTAAGTCTGTGCCACTTGGTAGTTCATCTAACAGCATTGAGAGCAGTGTTCCAGGAACTTGGAATTTTCAAACTCCTGATTGTTGACTCTGTGATGGCTTTGTTTCGAGTTGATTACAGCGGACGCGGTGAACTTGCAGAGAGGCAACAAAAGCTTGGACAAATGCTCTCCCGCTTACAGGTAATTAATCCAGCGAAGCTGTGGAAAATGACGCATATGTCGCATCTGTAAAGCGTCTTTCGCGTCACCTGAAGTTGTTCCAGAAAATTGCAGAGGAGTACAATGTGGCAGTCTTTATTACTAACCAAATGACAGCTGATCCCGGGGCTGGTATGACTTTTCAAGCAGACCCTAAAAAGCCAATTGGTGGACATATACTTGCCCATGCCTCTACAACACGAATAATGCTAAAAAAGGTTTGCCAACGAAATTGAGTTAAGCATTTCCAGTAGAGTTATGAAAATATCTCTCTATTTGTATCCGATAAATTAATTTAAAAAATAATATTATAAAGGGCCGGGGTGAGACAAGGATAGCGAAAATTTATGACTCGCCAGATATGCCTGAAAACGAAGCCATGTTTGCGATATCTGTAGGAGGCGTGATTGATGCCAAAGACTGACTCAACGTGCACAAAACAGCGACTTAAATTAACCACAAGCACTGCTGTCAAAATGTGTAATGGAACACTTTTATCACTGTGAGAAGTACATTTGTGATGTTTGGATGTCACTTTTATTTATCTGAGTGCAGAACTGTGCAATAAAAATCACATTACTTTCTCCTTGTGATTAGAAAACTAACTGGATGGTTGTTAATTTGAGGATGCTAATTTTATGATATAGATGTGTGTGGTTTGGCTTGGTCACTTCAAAGCTAAGCATTTTTAATTTATAAGGTTTCCAGGACCACCACGTATTCAATGAGCTGGCATTAAAAATAGCAAGGAAGCAGAAAATGGCATGTACTATGATGTATACATGAATAAAATATATACATAAATCACAAATAAGTGAAGAGGACAATAATACTTCAGTCACACCCTGACAGAAGAGAACAGATCATCGGAAAATAGATTGATGGTTTTGCGGATTGCATGAAGACCATCGTAGCACTGCGAACAATGAAAGAATTAAGCAGCTGGACTGCCAGGCCACCCGTATTTTTCGGATCAAGAAACAAAAGTGGTATACAAAGTTATATAGATGCCTCAAACTAATCGTTCCATTATTTGGGTCTCGATGGCTCCAAGACAGAGAACACTAATAGTGGAGCTGCCAATGCAAAGTTTAGGAGAATCATGGCTCCTTGCTTCATGGCGCAGAAATGACAAAAAAAAAAGAAGCATATTGATAAGGCATGATGCCCAGTTGCCCTAAATTGCAAAACTCCCAGAACTTCAGAATCCGACTCAAGACATCGTGTCTTCCAAAACCCAAGAATAAAAAAAACCGCTCAACGGAGAGACTCGGCACAATAGAAAAAAGTAGACGCGAAGAACACCAATTACTTAGCGGATGATAGACCAGCAGAAAACGCAAAAAAATATAAAACGGACATTCAAAGCAAAATTCAAGGCGGTAAGGCAGAAAAAAAAACAAGAAGTATAGGTCTAAAAAAACAGATTCCGCAATATTCAGTGCTTCACGTTAAAAAACTTCATATTCTTTTTCAATGCATCCGGCACCATAAAGAAGGGCTGGCATCTACCATGAAGGCTAAGAAGTCTGTAAATCAAAAAAAAAAAAAAGGAGAAAATTTAGTTCCTACAACTTCGATCCCACTAGAATTAGCAATTACACAACATATAAAAGTAAATTTCACTCAACAGTCATCCAGATGTTACAAGAGGATGTCATCGGAAAATTATGCTTTTGATAAAATAATGATAGAAATCTTTTTTCCCTCTAATGAATGGAAACTGTATCTGACGAAAATATACAGGCAAACATTTCTTCCAGCCAAACGCGCATTGAGCAATACTGTTAAGGCCAGGAAGACTAAAGAGAAAACATTGGAAAACCACATAACTTTTTCTATGGACCTGGAACTCTATCTACTCGAGATGGATCTCCGACAACAGCAACTGCTTTTCGGTACCAATGATCATAGTTCTGGTGCAAATCATTTGTGTTCTTCAACACAATACTGTCTGGCTTACCGTAGTTTGGTGGATTAGCCAGTGGATCGTAGCTAAAAGGATAAAGGTGTATACATTGAATAAATTGTTAGGAAAAATTCATGAAGATAAGAAAGGAAATAAAAAAAAGTACAACCAAAATAAATTATTATAAAAAAAATTGATAGTTACCCTAACTCAGCCAACATTGGAGCTATATGAGGCATATCAATCAGAACGTCCTCAGGAAAATGTCCAACCCATTTGCTTAATGCGTCTAAGTTTACTGGTTTTACCACTTGATCACTAGATCTTTCCACCCTGAAACGCCAATTGTATCACCACTTTTTCTTTTACCAATAAAAACCAGTTGATAAACCTCTTTTTTTTTTTTTTTTTCATTCAGCCATTTTAAATAATGCCCGACTGTTTGATACCAGCAGAAAACTACACAAACTACACTTCAATCTCGACAAAACATCAAATTTTAAATATAACGACAACCAACTTTGATAAAGATATATCTTTGCCAATCAACGTTTCATGATGCAGAACAGATTCATTCCAAGGAACATTCAAAAATTTCAAAACTCTTCTCATCTGTTCTTCTGGGTGTAAAACCAATTGTTCATAATATACTATCATACAGCGATAAGCGCCCACTGATTGACACTGCTAAAAATGATACAAGTTTAACGCATTAATTGCTCCTTTTTTTGTTCGCTCTTTCTTAAAAAAACTATATCTCTCTGAAACACGTACAAAAATTTATCAAAAAAAAAAAACTGCAAGCGAAAAAAAAAAATTGAAGTAAAAAGCAACAATGCAAACAGAAATAGGCCATAAATCAAAAAAACAAAACAAAAAAAGTAAGTGTACTAAGATTTCTTTTGTAAAACAAAAATATCAATGAAACTCTCACTATTCAAACTTCCGTTCCATCAAAGTTATCTTTTTTAATTTAAAAACGACACTTAGAAAGAACAATACAAAAATTTCTTTATCTAAAATTGTGAAAAAAAAACTTTTCATCTTTCATCTTCAACCATAAAGACAACCCAGAAAAAAAAAAAACCCCATTAATTTTTAACAAGGAAATAAAGCAAGCTTATAATAGAAGAAAATGTAATGCTTTTTTTCTTTTTTTTTTCAAAAGAAACATTCTTCAATGACTCTCACATTTGAACCTCATCAATTAAATTATTCATGTAAACTAATTACTAAAATAAATTTATAATTGTTCATAAATATTCAAGTAGTTCCATGAATTGTTCGAAAAAAAAAAAAAAGTGGATCGAGAAAGCAAAAGAAAATGGAAAAACCAGAAACATCTAAAAGATAAGTGATCAAGCAAAACATCGTTTTTTTCTTCTGCAGTATCGGTTTTCAATGCAAATTTTTGCAACAATTGTTTAAAACAATTATAGAAAGTGGCAAAAAACAAATGTCCTCCCTTTTCTATACTTCCGCACAAAGGTAAATCAAATAAACTAAACTGCCACTACTTTATAACAGATGCTCTTTTAGAAAATTTAAACCCCGTAACAATTAACCAAAAAATTTTCAAACTACATCTCTTTTTAAAATCATTATTTAAATTACACAACAATTTAGTTCAAATTTTTAAAACAAAACTGTAAATAAAAGATATTCGGTATTCAGACATTTGCTCGGCGCACATCAGTAACACTTTACCGGTTACGCTCAACCATCATTCACAAGAATCATTTCTTGGCCATTCGAATGTAACCAAATAAAGCCCTTTTCAGAAAATATCATCAAACTTTAAACCAGCATATTCTATTCGCTTATTTTTCTAAATCTGATTTTAAGAGAAGAAAAAAAATCTCCCCCGTTATCTCCTGCAGCTTCTTTACGCATATCCTACAAAAAAAAATTGACATTTTTAACTGATAAAAAAAAGCTGACTGTTTCTTAATAAACAAGAAATTTTTTTTTTTGAAAACAAAAGCAGAACTACAAGTCTTTATTTAAATAAATTTATGCTCATTTTAGAATAAACTGTAGCAGAAAAAATAAAGCAGCAAAACATTATTAACATCTATGAAAATATATATATATGCCTATGCATTTAAGATTTCTTCCCATAGTTTATTTACCATCCGCGCTTTTCAAATTGTTCACAGCAACGCCAAAAACCTAACAATAATCTTTTAGCACTTTTCTTTTATTGGAAAAAAATTCACTAATGATATGTTATATTACAAAAACGCTAATTATGAGATTATATCTTCAAAAAAAATGCTCCAGTTTTTGATGCCTTGATCTTTTTTTTTCTCACAACATTACAACCAAATCCCCCAATAGCAAACAAAAAAAAACAGTAAAAGATAATTGAAAAATAATTGAGCATAAATCCATTAAAAACCTAAAAAAATTTTACTCTTGCAGTAAGTAAATGCTAATAAATTGAGAACGATAAATTTTAATCCAACTTTTTTTTGTAGAGCATTATGCTCAATTTTATACGTCAAAAAAGAACTATTAGGGAACATTATACCAATTCAAAAACAAAAAAAAAAAAAGTTTAGAAACTATTTATTACAAAAAAAGAAAAAAAAAAGAACTGTTTATTATGAAGAAAAAAAAATCCCTTTCAATATTCACTTTTATAGATTTTTTTAAACAAAACACTGCCGAAATTTTTTTTTTTACCTGATACATCGTTGCAATCGCTGTATTCCATTTTTCTAAACATTGTCGATGACTTGTCAAATCAAATCCAGTGATCGTCACCCTTCTTGAAATAATTGAATGGACTGTAGCACGTCCATCACGAATCATTAATATAAATTTGCTATTTGGAAACAGACTAGCCAAATATTCTGTCGATTTAAGCGTAAACGGGTCTTTATTACAAAGACGATCTGCCGGCGCACCATGGCCAGCAATAATCTAAATTTGGCTCCAGTTACCACACAGTGATTTGACAGGTGACATAATCAGATACAAAGCATCGATGCAGTGCTTTATAATCCAACAAAACTTATAATCTTATTCTGGCAGTCAAAAAATAATTTTCTTCTAATAAATTATATTTTTAGCTTGCTAAGAGGAAATTCAAAAAAAAACATTAAAGCAAAAAAAAAATCTATTCAGAAGCAATAAATAAACCTGTATTATAAATGAAGAAATTGCAGCGTCTAAAACTTTACTAGTTACGCCGGCTTCATTCAAACGTCTCCATTCTTTTTCACTTCTTTTCCACTGTGATCGAAGACCTAATATTCGAGGGATGACACGAGTTTCTTCTCCACTGGAAAATTTATCATCGATTACAAAAAAAAAAAAAAATAAATAAATAATTCCTTCTTCTCCTTCTCTTTTTTTTTTCATCATTTAATAATACCACTAATTTCACATTTTTTTTTTTT